CCCCCCCCCCCTGGAATTTCTTCATTCCCCCCAGTTTAGGAGCCCATGATCTAGCCAATAGTGTGTTTGAAGTTGGCTAAAGAAAAGGTACAAGACTGCCCTCTTATGGGCAGGTATTTCCATCACTGCTCACGAGAAATTTCTTTTTCTTTTCCACTTCCTCAGAGTATAAATTACATGTCTTCAGTCACCCCTTTCAAATACTCAGCCTCCTAATACTGGAAACATACACTTAAGAACAAAGGAGGCCATAATACAGGATGGAATACGCTCTTCACCTTGACACTGCTTCCCAGGGTCATCAGCTGGAAGGCTCAAGCAGTCCCTGGAGCTGCGTCTAGACTGGCAAGTTTTTCCACAAAAGCAGCTGATTTGTGGAAAAAACTTGCCAGCTGTCTAAACTGGCTGCTTGAATTTCCACAAGAACACTGACGATCTCATGTAAGATTGTCAGTGTTCTTGCGGAAATACTATGCTGCTCCCGTTTGGGCAAAAGCCCTCTTGCGTAAATGCTTTTGCAAGAGGGCCAGTGTAGACAATGCAGTATTTTGCGCTAAAAAGCCCCAATCACGAAAATAGCGATCGGGGCTTTCTTGCGCCTAATCGCGTCTAGAGTGGCACGGACGCTTTTCCGCAAAAAGTGCTTTTGCGGAAAAGCGTCCGTGCCAATCTAGATGCTCTTTTCCGCAAATGCTTTTAACGGAAAAATGTTTCTGTTAAAAGCATTTGCGGAAAATCATGCCAGTCTAGACGTAGCCCAGGTGTATAAATGGGAGAATCTTGTAGGATTAGAGGGTTTTTTTTAATGAGTCACTACTATGGCTGTGGCTGAACTGCTATGTCCACAATTCAAAAATAAATTGGAGAGGTTTGCAAGTGAGCCCAGATAAAGATTTAAAGGATTGTAAGACATGCCTTATAGGGAAGGGTTAGGTATTTGAGTAGTTTTCTGGATCTCACGCTGAGTCAGTCCCACTTTTGGCTCCACTGTGACTTGTTCAACTTCTTGCAGGTGCTGAAACTTACACTTAAGCTTCTTATTCAGGATAAAAGTTCCCTCGGCACCTATGTTTCATAGTCTTGACAGGTGCACTGCTGCTTCCATCTGGATGTCTAAGTCCTAGACAGCGACTCTCAACTGAGAACAGACTTTTAGCCACTAAACTTGTTCAGACCCCGATCTCAGATGTGTTTGCTTGAGGGGGAGGGAGGTGTCAATGGATGTCAAAATAATTATTTTGAAATTAGCGCATTTTCCTCCCGAGAAGCTGGAGGGCACATTTAAAAATAAGCAGTCTCTTATTTTGAAATAGTGGGCTAGTTAGTGTGGATGCTCTGGTTATAAATTCAACCTAAGTGGGGTTATTTTGGAATAAAGCCCTAATGTGGACCAAGGCTAAAAAACTCACCTTAAGTTATACCTCCTCTGGTCAGCATATCCTACTGGCTGTCTTGGTGGGCTTCCTACCAGTGTTCCCTCAACTTATTCTCACATGGATGGAAAAGTTAGTTACAGGTACCAAGGCACAAGGACCTCTCCTGGCTGACCACTCAGCTTACAGGGAACACTGCTTCCCATCCAACGTGGCTTTTGTGGATCATATCCTTAGGTACCTATTAGATGTGATACTGTTAAACGAATACACTTACATGCAAAATCCCTTCCCTGTTTCTATCCGGTGCATGTAGGGAGCCTGCTTTTAATCTTGTTCCCTGCAAGCATGCACACCTTCTTACCCCTCCCACATGCTGCTTCTGATACAGAGGCCACACAGGAGAGGCAACTCCACAGAAGTCAGTGGTTGCAGGGAACCAGCTTAAAAGCTGGCTTCCTGCCCACACCAGCTCCTGTGGAGCTGCCTCCCGCTGCATGTGAACATCAGTGGTTACAAGTTTACAAAAACACTTAAAATCTCTAGTGCTTATCTGTCTGCATTTGTGCTATAGGGGAAGCTTGGTGCCTGTCTTAGCATTATGGATCTGTGTCTTTCTGCAGATTTCTAGATGCCTTAAAAGTTAGGCACCATGATTCTCAGCATTGTAACACCATAGTCTTCCTTGGATATACCACCCAAGGAACACTGTCTAATTAGCCTCACAAAGAGGGTTAAGGGGTGCCTTGGGCAGCTTACACATCTTGGTTGGATCTTGTTATACCTTTGTCTGCTAGATTTGAAGAGCCAATGCCTATAAATTAAACCTAGATATTTTCAGACTAGACAAACTTTTTTTAAGAGGGCAAATAATCATTGGAACAACTTTCCAAGGGCCATAGATTTTTTTTTTTTAAACAGTGGCAACTAAAATTAAAATCAGATCTTTTTAGGGAGGAACAAAACTATAGTTAAAAATTTATTTTGGGAGTTCTATGGCTTGTTATACAGGAGATTGGACCACTGATCATCTAATCTTTCTGGCCTTGGATCTATTTTATTGAAGTCTTAAGCAGGTAAAATAGTGATAGAAATGTAGCTGTATTAGTCTGGTGTAGCTGAAACAAAATACAGGACTAACAAGATGGTTTATTAGATGATGAGCTTTCGTGGGCCAGACCCACTTCCTCAGATCAAATATATGGTTGTGACTATTTTCTTCCACTATTTGATCTGAGGAAGTGGGTCTGGCCCACAAAAGCTCATCTAATAAAGCATCTTGTTAATCTTTAAAGTGCTACATAGTCCTGTATTTTGCTTAAGCAGGTAACTGACTGATAAGGCCCATTTGTTCTCCAAGTTAAATTTCCTGGTCCCTTTAGCTAGTTTGAAAAAGGTGAACTTCAAAGTAAAATGAAGTGTTAAGTTGATTTTTTTTTTTAAAAGCTACTTCCCAGTTCATAACATTACATGACCTCAGCATTATGTGTACCTTGCAAACTTGTTCAGAATTGCTAGCGTACATGGTAACCATGAGGTGCTTCTGCTTTCAGATTACTTGGACTGCATTATCAGCAGGGCGCTACGTACGTCTAACAGAAGGTCCAGAACAACAGGAGCTGGTGATCAGCTACCTTCCCCTGAGTCATATTGCTGCTCAAATGATTGATATTTGGCTGCCAATAGCATTTGGTGCACAAGTTTTCTTTGCTCGACCAGATGCACTGAAGGTAAAAATCATGCTACTTAAGCTCTATGCTTATAGACAGTAACCCCTGCATAGCCCCTTTGAGATAATAGCCTTGTGTTATAAGACAAAGTAGGCTGGCCACGTACAATGCAGACCATCCTGATTCCACTTATTCAAGTTCTAGTAAATTACACCTGTTTTGTGACCGAAGACCCTGTAAAGTTATTTAAACAGATGCCAGAGATGCTAGTCACCTTTTTGCTCTGTGTAGTACAAGGACAGAAAATGCCTGCACTTGAATCTATATGACTATATTGGGTCCTTGTATAATATTTTAGACACTGTACTCTTCGACTTCCCTTCTTAATAACTGGGTTGTGCAATGGCCATACTCCCAAATGTCACCATGGGGAAAAATCCCTCTCTTGACATGAATGGCCAGGTGATTTGCCCGATGCATAGTGAGCACACAGGAATCTGGAGTCAAAGCAAGGGGTGTGAATGTTCACTGGCCTTTGCTTTTCAAAGTTTGGGACTAGCTCTCAAAAAGCAAGCATCTTCACACTGCTAATGATATAAAAAGGCAGGGGAGCTAGTGAGAATATTTTAAGGCTAGACAGTTTGAACATGAGGCTTGTTTCTGGGGGCACCTAGTTTTAACTGGGGAGTGATACTTGATACTAATCTGGAGTCCACAATGTAGTGGTACTACAGCAGGGGTGTTCCAAGAATTTGACAAGTGGTTGAGGGCCACACTCTTCCATAAAATTAATGGAGGTTGGGTGCAGAAGGGAGCTTGGGGTAAGGGATTAGGGTGCAGGAGAGGATTCTGACCTGGAGGAAAGGGTGCAGAGTCTGGGAGGGGGTAAGGGTGTGGGAGAGAGGAGATAATGGGTTGAGGGAGGAAAGGAGGGGCTGGGGTGCCAGAAGCAGGCTCTAGCCAGGAGGTGCTTACCTACGCAACTCCCAGCCAGCAGCCCAGAATGTTCCTCGGCCAGGTTCCCTGCCTTCTATGTCCCGGAACACAGCTCAAAGTAGCTCTGAGAACTGTGTGCGCTGCTCTGAATGCTGTGAACCCAGGAGGAGAGACTTTTTGGGTGCTAACGGCTGTGAACAGGCAGCTCTCATTGGCTGGCTTTCAGCCAATGGGAGCTGCAAGATTGTGCTAGAGAAGGGGAAGTGCACAAAGCCTCTCCCTTGTCCTCCCAGACTTGCAGTGGCTTCTCTGAGCAATGTGCAGGGAGATAGGGCAGGTAGGGAGCCTGGCTGAAGCTCCCACTGGGTCGCGGACCAGATCTGGTTACTTGGAGGCCAGATGAAGATAGGAGTATACTGTAGGAATGGCATACGATACTCATTAGCAATCAGTCCTGATTCAATACATCGGTGGCTTTTTGTTTCTAGTTAGTCTAGATTTTCTTCCAAAAGTGGCTTTAAAATTTTAAAATTCCACTTCACTTAGGGCAGCTTAGTAGACACCTTACGGGAAGTGAGACCAACAGCTTTTATGGGAGTCCCCCGTGTTTGGGAGAAAATGGAAGAAAAAATGAAATCTGTGGGCGCAAAATCCTCTGCACTCAGAAGAAAAGTGGCAGCATGGGCTAAAGAAGTAGGATTACAAACTAACCTGAAACGGATGAAGGGGTAAGTGTGTTTTAAACTACTTAAATGCAGCTTGTAAATCCTAATAGCAGATCAGCACGTGACGTGCTAAGGTATCAGGGTGCAACCCGTGGGGGGTCATAGCTGTCTTACTGGGGGGTTACAGTGCTTTGGGCCGGTTAGCATTTTCTTTTCCCAGCTCAGCGCTGGACATGCATGCAGCAGGGGGATGTGACGGGGGCGGACCAGTGATTAAAATTAAGGGGGCTGCAAAAAATGTTCCCAGTGCATGCGCTTTTTTTGGGGGGGACTCAACAAAAATTTCTCTGGCTCTGGGGGTCATGAATGAAAAAAGGTTGAGCACCACTGTACTAGGGTGCTATCAGACTGAATCCTGCATTTTACATTTTTTCATTTGTGGTCTGTAGGAGAAAACTAAAAGCATCTTCCTCTGAATCAAAGTAGAAGCATGACCCTCTAGGAGGACAAGATTCCAATCAGATCTTGATATACTAACTTGCCTCTTTCAATCCTTCCCTTAAAGGTCTTCTGAACTCCCAGTGAACTTCCGTCTAGCCAGGCAGTTGGTGTATAAAAAAGTTCGGAAGGGTCTTGGATTGGATCGATGCACAAAATGCTACACTGGAGCTGCCCCAATTACTAAAGAGACTCTGGAATTTTTCCTGAGTCTTGACATTCCCGTGTATGAGTTGTATGGCATGAGTGAGAGCTCGGGACCTCATACAGTCTCTCTTCCAGAAACATTCATGATCACTAGGTATGTATTATCACTGTGCAGAGAAACTAGATAGCCGACTCTTACCTAGAAAATGTTCAGTGCTTATCTCACCAGAAGTCAACTCGCCACTTAAGTCACTGCTGTCCTTGACTGAGACAGGCAGCTCCCTTCCTTCTGTCTGTATCAAGCTAGCACCAGTAAAGAACAAGCTTACTTCAGCCATGAGGTTGAGAAATGGGAAAGGTGGAACTTTTTTGTTTCTCATGATTTCTACTACTGCACCCCAGGGCTATCCCTACTGATACTCAAAACAACATGCAGCTATTTGAGGCATCAAATCACTTCACATTTCATGGTGCCCTATATAGCTGGATGCTGCCTAATGGGCTGCTCACCAGAGCCACGACCCTGGCCAGCCCCTGCTCACCAGGTGGCAGCAAGCAGCATAAGTTTGGGCCAAAGGAGCAAGGATCAGCCAGTAGCTGGAGGTGAAACTGCTGCTTCTCTTCAAAGTGCTGCTTCTGTCTGGCCGGCTGCACTGCTATGGACTGCTTCTCCTGAGTCCTAGTGCTGCTCACTGCCACCCATGCCCCCTGCCTGCATTCCTGAGGCTACAGATAAGCCAGCCTCCCTGCCCTGCTTTTGCCCCCAGCTCCAACCCATAGAGTGGATCCGTCCATGGGGCAAGAGGGTGTGACTGGTGGGCTGTATAGGGCCCCAGCATTGGTAGAGATGGCCCTACACAATCAATATTTTAATATCTCCAGTAACTTAAGAGATCAACGTGAAGATACCAGATTGAAATAGAAGGTAGGGTGACCTGTGTGTTGGAATAAATACCTTCACTGCAATACAGTTGACTAAACCTCAAGCATTCTAGAACCGTGTTTCTCAAACTTCATTGCACCATGACAGGGCTGTGGGGGTTTGGCCTTTCTTTGGACTTGCTGGGGCCCAGGGCCAACACAAGCCTTGGCAACCCATTAAACTGAGGTTGGGATCCTCTTCAGGGTTTCCGGTTTCAAGATCCCGGTTTCAGAACAATATTCTGAAAACACCAAGGGCAGATTTCCACTCGAAGCATTGCAGCAGCCAATGGAAGCCCCTATCTGTGCCAATGGGAGGGCTTTGCCCATCAGTATAGGTAGTCCATTTTGCCAAAATGTGGTAGCTAGGTCAACAGCAGAATTCTTATCAACCTACACTGCGGGCTAGGTTTGTGTGTTAATGCCTTTGCTCACAGGTCTGGATTTTTCATACCCCGAGCAACAGTTCTACTGATTTTATTTCCTAGTGTGGATTTGGTGTCAATTTCTAGTAGGCATTAATCTCGATGCTTAATGTTGGATCCTTTTTAGATCTCACTACACTGACCGCTTAGAAGCATCTCTTTTTGGCAAGGGATTAATTTGACTCCAGCTGGAGTATGTCTCATGGCTTTGTGGAAATGCTTTACTTTAAAAGTGGTACCAGTTTAGAATCTAAGCTTTGGCAGTCCTAGCTGTTTCGCATACTGAATCTTAAGGCGTGTGTGTCCCTGTTTTAGCTGTGGAAAGGAAGTTACAGGCTGCCGGACAATGATTTACAAGCCAGACAGTGATGGCAGTGGAGAGATCTGCTTCTCTGGAAGACACATCTTTATGGGCTATTTGAACATGGAGGATAAAACCAAAGAGGCAATTGATGAAGAAGGCTGGCTACATTCAGGTGATCTTGGCAAGCATGACAAGAATGGATTCCTCTACATCACTGGAAGAATTAAAGGTATGCCTCATCTTTGGTTTGCATTGTCCATCTATACCACCCTATACCATCAACACTTAAATCTTGCAAGCAAAGTAGGTTTCTTTGACTTGGTATGTAGTTAGTACCTCTGAGCAGTTACACCACTTATGACCCAGCATGGTCTTAAGGTGATGTGCTAAAAGTTGTACAGCATTCTAAATCTGGTGTAAGAATGCTGCAGGACAAGAGAACAAACAGAAAAGCAAGACTTCAAAGGTGAGGGTTAAAGAGCCAGTGGCTTTTATAGCAACATGATAGCTAGCCATACTGACTTGAGGGAATCTAGGTTGGCAGAATAATTTTTCTAGTTGCAGCTGGCTGTGGTAGCATTTGCTTTTATAGCTAACTCCTCTATATCTGTCCATCTACCTTAACTGTAAGTGAAGAAGTTCCTGGGAGCAGCCCATGTATACGTTCCTTGCTATGAAGGACAATATTTAAATTGGTTACTACAGGACAGTTACAAAAGCAGATCAGATTCATTTGTTCTAGTGTCCTGTTGAAATGCAAATTGATCCTTTCAGCTTTGTACTGTCAGTAGCACAGGCATACTTGGAGGCTGGGAGGGGAAGATTTTAGTATTTTCCACATATGGATGGGGCAGGGGAGCTCTGGCAGTGGAAGGTAACACTGCTAAAATAGGGTGCATTGGGTGTGTCTCTTGGGTTCTCAAAAGGGTAAATTTTTCCCAAGATCAGAGCACAAATCAGCCCCCTCTGCCATTACTATTCTCTTCCCAGCCCCTCTTTTGGGCTTAAGACTTTGTTCCTTGTATACCAAGGAACAGCTAGTTCCCTCTTGCCCAGAGAGGAAGCCCCCCTCTTCCAATATGCAGATCTAAATAGTAAAGCAATAAGTGGTGGTAAGGGTCACAAATGTTCAAGGCCCCATGTACTACATAGCAAACTATAACTAAATTTCTTCAGTCCTGTTTTTTCCTCCCCTATTGCGCCCCCCCCCCGCCCCCCCCACACCTTTAGTGGGGGGAATAATTCCTCTTGAGCAGTTTCAAATCTGTTCTTCACTTAGACTTGAATATCCCATGCATGGCTTTACTAAAGTCCCTTTTTTAGAGATGAGTTAAATCCTTGTTTGGTAGTTAGCCAGACAGCTGTCTTGTAAAGTGTACAATTGCTGTAATGTGCATGTCATCTTGTGTCTGAAACTGCGCTTCACAAAAAACACCAAAGCTAAAATGGCAGTGACCAATCCCATTTTTATAGTTATGCCTGTGTTCTAGAGCTCATCATTACTGCTGGAGGTGAGAACATCCCTCCTGTTCCAATTGAAGATGCTGTAAAGGAAGCTGTTCCCATCATTAGTAATCTAATGTTAATTGGAGACAAGGCAAAATTTCTTTCTATGCTTCTAACACTGAAGGTATGGTTCTTTCATTATTTCCTGATAAATAGTTTCATTTTTCTAGCTATCCGATTTAGCCATTCTGGCTAGATTCTTGGGATAAAGAGTTAGGAGGGCTTGTTAGTTTCAAATCTGATTTGACATGGTTTAACACTTGAAAATGAGCATTTCACAAACCTAATGTTCTACAGATTTGTAGGCAACACGATAGCATGTAAAGTTGTAACCTTGAATTACAAGGACCTGACCAAAAGCACATGAGAATTACTCTCTTCATATTTAGTCCAGCTATAGTTTAGTTATAGGTGCAGAACATCCCCTTTAATTTTGCTGAATAAGTACACGCAATGGGGAGATGGAGAAGTTGAGAACATTGAAGCAGTATGATACAACAGGGGAAAAATCTGGTTCTCCCTTTCCTTCTCAAACCTCTTCCTCTGTAGCAGTAACAGGCTATAGCTTCTTTACTGAAAATGGCTTTGTATTTAAAATTTCCCCTAGATTGAGCTCTAGATTTCTGAAGGCCAGTTCCCAGTCCTCCATAATTAGGTGCTGAGCTGTTAGGCAAAGAACGTGATAAACCAGTATAGTGAAGCCCAGCTGCATTCTTGTCGGTCAGTACATGGTGCTGCTTTACCTCTCCCGGATTCAAATAATTTCTTTAACTCTAGAAATGTCTCTAATGGGAAAAGAGCATTAGCTACAATGGTAGCGATAACAAAATAGTCCTAGAAATCCCTTACCTACCTCTGAGAGCAGTCTAGGTTCTGAACATAGCTTTCAGGATGCCGAGATGGGTGTGGAGGAGGGGGGAGGTTCATTTCAACATAATCAAGTCAGGCTTCAGTGAACTGGCAAATTGTTGCACCAAGATAATGTGATTTCTGGCTGTCAACTTAGGATCAGCCAGGATAATAGAAAATAAGTTTGCTGGGTTAAATAACAATGTGAATGTAGAAGACGTTATATATTATGCTCCAGAAAAAAGAAACTGTTGGGCAAGTGAAGTAACGTTGCTGTTCTGTTCTTCCTTACAGTGCAATGTCGATGGAGAAACAGGGGAACCTGAAGATGACCTTACTCCAGATGTCATAGCATACTGCCTCAAATTAGGCAGCAAAGCTACCAAAGTCTCAGACATTGTAGGTGGCAAAGACAAAGCTGTCTATGCAGCTATCCAGAAAGGAATTACATCAGTAAATGAGAAAGCAACCTCAAATGCACAGAAAATACAGAAGTGGGCCCTCCTAGAAAAGGACTTCTCAATCGCTGGTGGACAGCTAGGTAAGTAGGTACTGCATGTTGAAACAAATGCAAGTCATCTGGCTTCAAATAAGGGCAGTGAGAAGATGTAATGCTTAAGTCCTATATAACACAATCTCTTGCGTGTATTATGATATCAAAGTTAGTCCTAAACTAGTCACACTCACTCACTTCACTGTGCTGAATAGTGATAGAGATGTAGCCGTGTTAGTCTGGTGTAGCTGAAACAAAATACAGGACTATGTAGCACTTTAAAGACTAACAAGATGGTTTTTTAGATCATCATCTTCTAATAAAGCTCATCATCTAATAAACCATCTTGTTAGTCTTTAAAGTGCTACATAGTCCTGTATTTTGTTTCACTGTGCTGGACATTCAAGCAATGGAACTGCAGGAGCCTGTCAGCAGGGTAGATTGAACAGCCACTCTTGGCATTCAGCAAATCTGTGTGAAGAAACAAAGAAATAGGCTGAGGTTGCTGACTGGCAGGAGTGAGGGAAGGAGATGCTGGCTGACTTGTGGGTGGAACTTGGAGAATAGGATGGGTTGAATATTTCACTTCACCTCCAATAAGCCTTGCTGGAAACTATCTGTGCCCTGTTGTAGATGCAACAATAAGTTGCTACAGCAGTTAAAACAAATCAAAGATTTGGACACTGACATCCAGGCCTCCAAGTGACCATCTCCCAGTAGTAGAGAAATGTGCACTTCTTGGAACTAATTATTTCTGGTGCCTGTTCCCACTTGACAGTCATTTGGGTCTTTTCCCTGAGGGGCACAAGTAGGCTGCATGGCTGCTTAATTGCACCATGTGAGGGGACCAGGTTACAACATTGACCCATTACTGAGATTTAAACATCTCCTCAAAGAATGTGCCAGAGTCTAAACTCCTTTGAGAATTGCAGTGAGCTGCCTCAGGCTGCTGTGAACCTCCCTTTGGTGCCCAGCCACCAAAGGTTGTTCCTCAACTCCTGGCCTTCCAAATGACTCTGGCTGGATAGGCTAGAGCCCCAGACAAAGCATTTGTCACTTGAGCCCCTGGACAGCCTGGGACCTTAGCTGGTGTAGGAAGCCAGGGCTTAACCCAACTTTGTTCCTCTGCTCTGACACTGGCAGTCTTGCTGCTACTTTCCTCCTGTATAGAGTGCCTCTTGCAGCAATGTTTCCTGTGCCTTTCAACTTGCATGTGTAACTGATAAATGATTGTCCCCATCCAAAATGGGTAACTACAATCACTAAGGGATATTTGAGCCAACCTGAAGTGAGTTGGGCAACCTTTCTCCAAGGTCAGCAGGCAGCCTTGCTCCAAAAGATTAAACTTTTTGGAATTGGCCTTATAAGTAGAATAAATGACTTGATTAAAATGCTGTTCCCCTCCTTGCAGGTCCAACCATGAAACTGAAGAGGCCTGTTGTAATGAAGATGTATAAAGACCAAATAGACCAGTTCTACACTGATGTGTGAACCACATCAGCAAAACCTCTTTCAAAATCACTTTAGAACTTTGTATGTCTCGACAGTTCTCCAGCTCTTCCTCTGCTGTGTAAGTGTGTGCTGCTCATTGCTTCGACTCCAAATGAAGGATTAAATGGATCTGAAATAAACCAGGCTTAAAAATGTAGCCCTGAAATCTGTGAATACATTCCTGACTTCAGCTATTGGCAATGCTGTGCTAACACTGTTCCCCTCTTTGGACTTTTTCTAATGTCCATTATCAGCTCATCAGATGTGTATCATACAGGCACGATCTCAGCAAAAGTTAAAACTTTGCACTATGGCATTTTTTTTTGAAAAACTATGCTAGAACTTATATTTTATCAAAGCTTTGTGTTTTTTTTATATTCATTTTCAGGAAAAAAAACCAATCAGGAACCTTGGTTTCTTGTAGTGTTACACTTTAGGTCTGGGGTAATTTTTAATAGCAGTGGGTTTTGTAGCTGTAGATTTAACTACAGACACAGAATCTAAAATACTTGAGAATTTTCACAAGGTGTAAAACTAAGGTGGAAGATGCTTTATAATACACATAGAGTGTAAATGACTTCTCTACAGCAGTAATGGGGGTCAACTAACCTCCCCCAAACTGTTTACTTGGTTCATAGTCTGTGCAATACTGGCTTTTTTAAGACTTTTTTGGTTGGGATATCACAGCCATAAATTTATTGAAACTATCGTGCATGTGCTGTGTAAAGCATTCCAGCAAGCAGAGTCTGATAGAGCTATTAAAATACTGCCCCTTCTGACTTGTTCCTCAGTTGTCCTACAATCACGAAGTTTAAACTTCTAGGATTTTATGCATAGTACACTTGGGTAAGTGAGAAAAGGTCTTTGTCACTTAGGACAATAATGGACTGAATGGCTTTAAAAGCTCTTTTGAAAAGGAAAACAATGCATGTATTAGAAAACTAGGAACTGTGTTTTTGAAAAGGAAAAGAATGCATGTATTAGAAAACTAGGAACTGTGTTTTTCCTCCCCCTTTTTCTAGCAAAAGGGTTAATTTATTATAGGGGAGGTGGTGGATGTGTGTAAAAGGTATCTCTGAAGTCTGCTGCACTTCTAGAACTTTAGTGTTTGGCACTACAGGCCCTCTACAAAAGTCAGTCACTGTTACCGAATCCATGGATGCTTATAGTAAACTATTGCCTGATGTGAACTGGTTGTGCAAGGTGCCCATAAGCAGAACAGGCCATAACTGTTCCTGGAGGACTAAACTAGTGCTGGTTATCCCTGCCTCTTAACGAGTGGATTAAAGTAGTTGTGCAGAAATCGCATTATATGAAGGCCTACCTCCAACTAAGTTTCAGGGAGCTTGCATGTTTTTAAGGTTTTTTCTTATTTATGATCAGATGAATATAAATGTGCAAACAATGTATGAGATTCTGAAGGACAAAACTGCAATCATTGTACTTTCAAACTTTTGTTACTGATGTCTTCTGTTAATGCCTAAAATGCATGTTTTGAAGAATGTGTATGAATAAATTTCTGTAGAGCATCAATTATGCTGAGTTATACTTCAGGAAACACAGATTAAATGTCTATCAGACTTCATCACTTTCAAGCCATAGTAACACTTGTGTTACCTCTAGTATCTGTAAGATGCCTAGGGAAAAATGCTACAGGAAGGAAGTTAAAGCACTTACAAAAATTGAGAACTTGTAACAAGTGGGAGGTGACTACGTAATTGGAATTATCAAGATTCCATCTGTATCTAAGTTTATGAACTACCATTTACTGGTTTCATCACTAGTTTCATCACTATTCTCCATGGGACAAATGTGAAATGTCTGAACTGTTACTAAATACTTAATAAACACCTGGAAAACTTCATTGTCTCTCTTTAATTGCAGTTCAGTCTCTAGCTAAAGGGTTTTGGTTAACTGGACACACAGCTTTCAGGAACTAACTAGCAGTGAAAGAAAAGCTGATCATGGGGAAAGTAACAAATTATCAACTGTTGTACACTGAGAAAGCTTCCATAACATCTGAAGGAATACTCACCTAGTACTATTAACCAACAGGATCATTTAGGGATTAACAAGAATTTTAGTTAAAGCTGGGGCCACGTCAGTTGGAAGTAATGGAGGAGGAGAAGGACCTCTGAGTCCTGGTTGATTATAGAATGAGAGCCACCATTGTGACATGGCTGTGAAAGGCTAATATGATCTTGGGATGTATTAGGCAAGGTATTTCCAGTAGGGATAAGGAGGTGTTAGTGCCATTATACAAGGCATTGGTGAGACCCCATTTGGAATACTGTGTGCAGTTCTGGTCTCCCATGTTTAAGAAGGATGAATTCAAACTGGAACAGGTACAAAGAAGGGCCACTAGGATGATCCGAGGAATGGAAAACCTGCCTTATGAAAGGAGACTCAAGGAGCTTGGCTTGTTTACTTTAACCAAAAGAAGGCTGAGGGGAGACATGATTGCACTTTTTAAATATATTAGAGGGATAAATACCAGGGAGGGAGAGGAATTATTTAAGTTTAATACCAATGTGGACACAAGAACAAATGGATATAAGATGGCTAGTAGGAAGTTTAGACTTGAGATTAGACGAAGGTTTCTAACCATTAGGAGTGAAGTTCTGGAATGGCCTTCCAAGGGAAGTAGTGGGGGCAAAAGATCTATCTGGTTTCCAGATTAAGCTAGATGGGTTTATGAAGGGGATGGTTTAATGAGATAACATGATCTTGGTAACTAATTGACCATTCATTATCAGTGGAAAATAGGTCAATGGAGGGATGATAGGAGTTACTATAGAGAACTTTCTGGGTGTCTGGCTGATGAGTCTTGCCCACATGCTCAGGGTTTAGCTGATCGCCATATTTGGGGTCGGGAAGGAATTTTCCTCCAGGGTAGATTGGCAGAGGCCCTGGAGGTTTTTCGCCTTCCTCTGTAGCATGGGGTACAGATCACAGCTAGAGGATTCTCTGCATCTTGGGGTCTTCAAAGTATTTGAAGGCTTCAATATCTGATATAGGTGAGAGGATTATTCTAGGAGGTGGGGGTGAGATTTTGTGGCCTGCACTGTGCAGGGGGTCAGACTAGATGATCATAATGGTCCCTTCTGACCTTAAAGTCTATGAGGATCGATAGTATGACATCCTCTGAAAAATCTTGGGAAAAACTTGCATAACTTCTTGAGAAACATGGAGCCCCTTTTCAACATTAGGCTTAACTTAAACGCAAAGCTAACAATCCCTCCTCCTGTGGAGGAAAGAGACCACAGCAAGCAGCACTGACTAGTGTAAACTCATCCGGCCCTATAGTTCTTACTTCCTTGGTGGTAGAAACAGAGCAAGTCCAAAGGACTACAGAACTGAAGAGTTAATAGATGAGTGGGAGAACTTATCCATCCAGTGAGCCCTATGTCAGCACTAATTAATGCACACCTTTTTGCTTGTGCTCACTGATGCAGGCTAAGGGACTAGGTAATTGCTGTGTAAAAGCCAAGGCTGGCCAAGAACCTGGGCTCTAGAATTTGCAGGAGGGTCCCAGTGTACAGGCTGCAGCTAGAACCTGTCTTCTAGTGCTGCCCTGCAGCGAGGACTGTGTCAGCACCAGCCACCAGACATGGTGCTGCTGGCAGATGGGGCACAAAGCCGCAGGCAGCCAGGGCACCACCAGTCCTGGGGGCTGCTGGTAAGGAGCCAACTGGCACATAGTGTTTTTGGTAGACACAGGGCCAGGCACTGATGCCCTAGAGGCTCCTGCTGGCAGATGGGACACTGGCCGCCACCAGCAGACAGCACTAGGTGCCAATGACATGACAAGAACACTAGCCATGGCAGGCCACCACCATACAGGGGACTGTTGGCAGACAAGGCCCCCAGTACACATGGTGCCAGGCACTGATGCCAGACGGTCCCACACCAATAGGTGGGCCTGGGCACAGAGGCCAGAGTGCCACTGGGCAGAGGCAGCAGCCAGACCCAGCGCTGGGTGCATTGGCAGGGGGAGCGCACCAGCTCAGGCCTCCTGCAGGCACATGGGCGCCTGGACTCTAGCAAGCCCTGCTGTGCTCAAGACACGTGGGGGGCGGGGCTGAGCTCACACACGCCCCGCCCCAGCTCTCACGCAGCCTGAATCAGCCTCTCTCTGACGCACAGCGCCCCTCTATGGTTAGAGCGCCCCTTTAGGAGTTCCCCTCTCTCATGCGGGCGCGCTCCCTCTCCTCAGCATAGGAGGACCGGAAGGAGTGTTGGCTATCCCAGAGCTCCGCGCGCGGTCTCGTTCTTTCTCCTTCCGGTGCGGCGCCGTGCGGCCTGGGGCAGGTGAGGCCGAGCCTGGCCGGTCGGGAGAATCCGCGGCCATCCTTTGGCGGGAGGGGCTGGGGGCTCCCGGTGGGGGAAGATCCGAGATGTGGGGGGGCCGGGGGCGTGGGCTGAGGCCGGGCTGGGGGGGTGGCTGGTGCTGGGCTGGACGGTACCATGGGGGTGGGCAGGGGGGCCGGGGAGGGGCGGCTGGTGCTGGGCTGGACGGTACCATGGGGGTGGGCAGGGGGGCCGGGGAGGGGCGGCTGGTGCTGGGCTGGACGGTACCATGGGGGTGGGCAGGGGGGCCGGGGAGGGGCGGCTGGTGCTGGGCTGGACGGTACCATGGGGGTGGGCAGGGGGGCCGGGGAGGGGCGGCTGGTGCTGGGCTGGACGGTACCATGGGGGTGGGCAGGGGGGCCGGGGAGGGGCGGCTGGTGCTGGGCTGGACGGTACCATGGGGGTGGGCAGGGGGGCCGGGGAGGGGCGGCTGGTGCTGGGCTGGACGGTACCATGGGGGTGGGCAGGGGGGCCGGGGAGGGGCGGCTGGTGCTGGGCTGGACGGTACCATGGGGGTGGGCAGGGGGGCCGGGGAGGGGCGGCTGGTGCTGGGCTGGACGGTACCATGGGGGTGGGCAGGGGGGCCGGGGAGGGGCGGCTGGTGCTGGGCTGGACGGTACCATGGGGGTGGGCAGGGGGGCCGGGGAGGGGCGGCTGGTGCTGGGCTGGACGGTACCATGGGGGTGGGCAGGGGGGCCGGGGAGGGGCGGCTGGTGCTGGGCTGGACGGTACCATGGGGGTGGGCAGGGGGGCCGGGGAGGGGCGGCTGGTGCTGGGCTGGACGGTACCATGGGGGTGGGCAGGGGGGCCGGGGAGGGGCGGCTGGTGCTGGGCTGGACGGTACCATGGGGGTGGGCAGGGGGGCCGGGGAGGGGCGGCTGGTGCTGGGCTGGACGGTACCATGGGGGTGGGCAGGGGGGCCGGGGAGGGGCGGCTGGTGCTGGGCTGGACGGTACCATGGGGGTGGGCAGGGGGGCCGGGGAGGGGCGGCTGGTGCTGGGCTGGACGGTACCATGGGGGTGGGCAGGGGGGCCGGGGAGGGGCGGC